GCGCGCTCGCGGGACGGACTGGCGCGCGCTCGCGATAGTTTCTGTATGCAACTCCTATATCATTCAACCTGTCCCTATGAAATGGCCAAAGCTCCCAACTAAATACCAGAAAGGAATCTGAAAATAATCCCAAGTCTGTAATTCCCGTTTTTTAGTGTGTTGCATCCAACCTTTTACCCTGATGCACAGTCTTCATGTGTATGTGTGTAAAAATAAACTATCAAAACATGATGTGATATCATATGAAATGAATAAATATTAGATAGATAATAATTTATCCTTCATACAAGGCCTAACAAACTTACTTTTCAAGGTGAACAAGAAGCAGAGAGTTGTACAGCCCTGGAGAAGGCTTTGCTAATCCCAGGTTCATAACCGTCTCAAAAAATTGATTCACCATTTCAACTTCACCTCTCAATGCTACATTATTAAGCACCATGGGAAAGAAGTTAACTGGGATTTTGCTGATAGGAACATCCTTCTTTTTCATCTCCTTTAGAATGTTAATAGCATCTACAATGAAAAAACACAAAAGACCCTTAGGTAATTTCATGTAGGGAAAACAAACTGCTATTAAAACAGCATTTCAAACACAGCAGGAATGTAAATTCTGGTGTATAATGCCGATTTCAAGTTAATTACTACTTGCATTTCTAAATGAGACTACAATTATAAATCCACAATAGCATGGTTTTATCATTTTGCTGCAACTTTGACTACAAATTATAGATAGGAACTGTGTGCCCACTCTGCAACACATAACCCTGTACCGTCTGCCCTATAGCTGCAAGATCCTACTAAATGGATGCTTTTATCGTTCATTGCTAACATCTGCTAAATCACTCCATTGTTTCTTCAGCAGATGGCTTGTCACGAGGCCAGATAATAAAGATGTGTTTACACTGTACATACAGCCAGACTAATGGTCTGATACCGATAGGGCCTGTTTGCTGTGTCGATACTAATTAACCAAGGAGAGCCAATGAAAGCTTTCTAACAGACTGCATGTTAAAACATTAGGTTCATTAAGCTTCATTAGGAAAGCAGAAACAAACATTTTGGTATATGGAATAAGTGCATTTTTATAACATTCTTAATTATTGCATTGGCAAAATATTTTGACCACTTTACATAAAAGCGATAAAAGCATCCTAATCTTTTAAAACAGCTTTGCAGAACACAAATGTTCCTCAGAAAATAATGCAACTCATAAAATTTAACTACACCTCTTCACTTTAGAAGTGACCATGATCTAATTCATCATCATTTGGAAGGGGATTGGGTTTTCAATGCAACCCTAATAAATGGCCTAGTCAAAATTCACTGAAATAATTTGGTGAGGAAACAAGCAAGCTATAATTTCATATTTCGTGGGGGTTGGGGGGAGTCACAATCATCATGGATGAAGATTTAATTGTAGCAGGTACTGTACAAACATAACTCAGTATTCACAAGAGTCTTAAATGAGCTAGATTCTGTAGCTCCTCTTTAAAAAAAAAGTGGCAGCACGACATGCAATAAAATGTAAGTATGGGAATTTCCTGTTTCTGGGCCTAAGGCCCAACTCATTTATTACAAAGATCAAGGAATATACTTTGGACATAGACTGACTTTTAACTTTTGCTTTTAACGTGTGTTTAGTAGTCAATCTCAGTAAGTAAAATTGTAATGTAAATTAAATGTAAGAGGAATACTGACAAAAAATATTAGCATACTTTTATAGAAGTCACAGAATTTTTTTGCCGTACTTGGACCCTTACAAGAAGGTTATGTTTACTGGTTTTACGTTCAGCCTTCAGACCTTCTTAAGCAAAAACAAAGCCATTAGTCTAGGCACATACGCAATTTGTGCCATAAGTCATGATCTTCAAACTCAATCCAAACAGCAATGCTAATAAAAACTAGCTGCAGAAATGCAAAAAGCACTGAGCTGTGCAAATGCAAATGACAAGCTTGCCAATCCATTAAAACTAATGGCCTGCACTGTCCAAGCATCTCTGGTTGAATTCACATGCAAATTTGTATGCAAAATGTTCAAGCACTTTGCAGGACATGATATACCATTAATATCAACTCACATTTTTATTCTTGAGGCAAGATACCTTTATTATGTAGCAGAAATATACAAGAAAATAAAATGCATTACCTTTTACTCTACCAAGCCTTCCTAAGACTTTTATCAAGGCTAGGTATGTTTTTGTGGGAAGCGTAAAAGATGAATCTATTTGGGAGCTAAAAAACAAGAATACATTACAAAAATGCATCAGCGGAAGTTCATTCTTTATTTTATTACACAGAAGTTATATTTAACCAGAGTATCTGACATGCTTATAAAGTTTACCATAATAGTTAGGATATTATATGACAGAGAAGTCTTTTTTTTTTTTTTTTTTTTTTTTTTTTTTTTTTTTTTTTACAAGTGAGCTAAAAATGAGGGTGGCTTTATGTTGTATATGAGTTAGCACATAGTAAGCAAGCACACTACTCTCTGCTTCCATGTTTGTAAAAAGTAATTTTTAAGTAAAAAGGACATAGAAAAGCATGCTCAACTTGCTCTATTACTAAAAAAAGGTTTTATCCTCCAAACTGAAAAGGAAAAAAGAAGTTAGGACTAGCATTTGATGATATCATCAGGTATCTGGGTCAAACTCAGAAACATGGAACTTCTTCCTTGAAGAAGTCCGTGTTCAAGTATTGTGATAAAAAAGGACTGAACATAAAAACTGACCTATTGGCTAGGGACAGAAATTACGTATAAATCCGGAGACCGGTTCAAATCTGCAACACAACAGAAGTTCAGTGCACATAAGCTACTTCCAAAATGGCCAAAACCAGTTTAAGATAAACCTGGACGGATGTAGTATCAAAATTAACTGATTTACGTTTTATCAGTTTATTGAACTTCTGTCCCAGATCCCATTCAGATTCAAAATTAACTCTCAGTCCCCCAGCATTCCACTATGTTTTGCAGCTCCCCAGCAAACTCCCACTTGCAGGGTGGGTGGGCTAGCCTTGGCCCAAGCCGTCTGCTCCAGTTGAGCAAGGAGGGAGGTGTGCTCTAGCACCCCCTGGTTTCTGGCCTGGGCCACTGCAAGCACGTAGCTGGATTTATGGACTCAAAAATGAATGTCTGTTCACTTGCTTATTGGTTCAATCTACGCAGCTTAGACTAACCAGCAAGGACTGAATCAATTCAACCTCAAGCTTTTTGACTGCCTGTACTTAGTTATTATATCCTAATAACTATGTCTTTCAATATTATTGCTTTTATTTACTTATTGTACTTCTTTCCCAAAGAAAAAGTAAACTATGTTGCAAAACAAAACACCACACTTGTTGGCAGTTCTATGTTGGGCTTAAAACTGATCACTGAACCCTGACCTACCCTTTGAAGTACTATTACCAGACTCAATCATCACTTCAGAAGACCTTATTATGAGATATTGTGCAAGTCAACACAAGGGAAGGGTTATAAGACAGAAACACAGTATGAACCTATTACACAGGTTAGCCATCTTGCATCATTCAGTGCCACCAATGCTCCCTCCATAACATGGAGGCTTGACTTGAATTCTATTGTAAAACCAAAGCAGGTATTAAAAGAAAAAATCCAACAATTCAGAAAAGTATTAAACAACTTTCAATATTTCACCCAAATATTGAAATGAAAGAAATATTGGGGCTTTTATGAGAGTTAGGAGAGGGGAAATTAAGAAAAAGATGTTTTAAAAAATAATTTTCTCCTAGAGCAACCACAAACAAATAATGTTTTAGCTAGGAACTAATTTTCATCCCCAAAAATATATTCTTTGAAAACAGATTAAAAAAAGCTGTTTGCTGATGGATCTTTACATATAATTTTTTTTTTTTTTTTTTTTT